AATGATGAGCTTAAAAATCTGTACTCCTCCCCCAGTATTGTCAGGGTGATTAAGTCGAGAAGAATGAGATGGGCTGGGCATGTAGCGCACATGGATGGGACAAGAGGTGTGCACCGGGTACTGGTTGGGAAACCTGCAGGGAAGAGACCGCTGGGGAGACCTAGACGTAGATGGGAGGATAATCTCAGGCGGGATCTATGGGAGATAGGAGTTGAAGGAAACTGGATTTTGTTGGCCCAGGACAGGGTCCGGTGGAGGGCTTTGGTTAATTCGGTGATGAACCTTCGGGTTCGGTAAGCCATCTAGTTAGTTAGTTAGTGGTCTTTCAGTGTGTAAAGAGGGATCCTTGGAGATGACATCACTGTTCCATATGTTAAGCCTGAAGAAGAGAGTGCTGTGTCCAATTACACATTCATCAACAGATCACTGCCAATGCTGGTGAAGGATATACAAGTCACCAAACTGTTTCTGTAGTACCAATATGCCAAAAAAAGCACCTTTTAAAACAGGAACATTAATTAAAAATATACAGTGAAATAAATATGAACTACTTGTTTGTAAAACAAGTAATGTACCTTGATGCACAACTCAGCATGGAGTGTTTTATACAAAGTGTCAAATGCTATTTGCTTAAAAAAACATTTTGATCTATGAAGTCAATCACTATTTAAAAATACAAATAATTCATCAGCAGTCTTACCAACACATTCAAAAATTAGAACATGATAATGATAGCAACATTTTATAAACATAAATGTTTATGTACAAGACTATAAATGAAATTTTCAAATAATCATTAGAGTCAAGACACATGGGACAAAAAATTCATAAAGCAACTGCTAGACCAACATGTCAAATGAGAGTAAAGAGTGGGTCATAAGGATTAGTGAAAGAAGGTTTTAGATAAAATGTACTTTATGGAACAGGAAGAGGGTTAACCATGTTGACAATACAATAAATAAAGAAATGAATGAAATAATGACATAATTACAAATTTCACCAATTTCTGACAGAACCGCACAAAACTAACTAGAAAGAACAAGCTCTGAACATATGTAAGAAAATACTATAAATTATCAACCCTGTGGAAGGAGACATTTCAGAAGACCTCTAAAACATGGAAATACTGGTAATACCAGCAGCAGACCAATCAAGCCATATACTTGAAAGTATGATGATGAAATGGTAATGTTAATGGTTGCCACCAAGTGTTCCAGTTTTTCATATCTTGTCAAGGACGCAGAGTGCAATTCCAGATAGAACAAGCAATATTCCAAAATATGTATCTGCAAAACAAGACAATCCATAAAGTTGCTTGTATAAACTGTTACTGAGTTCATCATATCTATGTAAGATTTGAGGTTTTCACAGGGGTGAGTATGAAGATTTCTACACAGCGCAACAACCCAGAAGACAGAAATCTTCTTCATATATTTCTGCATTAATCTTCAGGAATATAACGTAACTTGCTGGTGTTTCTGCTATTTCAGATTAAAAAGTAAACAGTTCAAAACCTGATTGGGACTGTCTGTGATAAAGTACCTAGACTATTCCTTACCTTCGGCCAGTCAGTATCTTACAGAAGGTCCCTCTACCAAGAGCAATCATTCTCATGCCATCTTTCAACATAAAACTTCAGTATCCCTAAATAACCTATACAACAAACTCCAAATAACTCTTCTGGTTGTTTTAAATATAATACAAATAAAATGTACTTACTGTAAAGCAGGGGTCGTCAACCTTTTTATACCTACCGCCCACTTTTGTATGTTTGTTGATGGTAAAATTTCCTTACCGCCCACCGGTGCCACACGTACTGCCCACCACCATGAAAGAGGTACAGCTCGAAGACTGAGTGATGGCCGGTGGTAAGCCCCCGCCTTCGTTATGCGCTCTAAACTCGTGCCTTTGGCCACGGAGCTCATTCGTTTCTCCCTCGTCCACGAGTATACTTCGAGAAGTGTCCGGTGAATTATTATTTATATTCAAAGTTTAGAGATGGAATTCAAAAGTAAATTGCAAAAGCATATTTTAAAAAGTCAAACTCGCGAAGTTGTTAGCAATGTATTCGATTAATGGAGGAAGAACAAAATTTGTAACAATGGACAAAAAACCCACCGCCCACCATGAAAGCTTGAATCGCCCACTAGTGGGCGGTAGGGACCAGGTTGATAACCCCTGCTGTAAAGCATGTTCTGAATTTCATGTCAGTCTACACATACTTAACAAACAGATCATGCCCACACTTACACTAAACAAAACTAAAAGGCCACACAATTTCTTCTTACAATTATACTTTAGTAAATTAATTTACATTGTTGACATTCCACTAAATAATGGACAAATACATCAAAATGACAGAATATCAAAGGTTATATAGGTTATAAAGAAAATTTTCACTAAAAATGAGTACAGAAACAAACTTTTGTTAAAGTTCTTATGTCACTTCCAGTAAAGCTAGAGAATATTTTATTTTTATAATATTCATTCTAAATGTGTTTAAGAGGAAAAGGAATTAATAAAACCTGGAATGAGATTAAATCATTTATCGAATTATGACAAGAAAAAGGCACTACTGAGAGTTCTTAATAAGGTCAGAGATTTCACTTTGTGTCTTCAAGACTTCACTGGTCTGTATGGAAGACATTTATTGTACGCTGTATACCAGGAATAAATAATACATGCAACTCAATTTCCAAGTTATATATTGCACAGCAAACTCATGTTTCTTTATCAATACAGTAGGGCCCCGCTTTTCGGTGATCCACTAATACAGCGCTTTTCAATTGCGTGCATATGCCCCACGCGCTCAACAGCTGAGTCAGAGAAGTGCGTCCGGTGCCATTTTCTCGTCGTTGATTTAGTCTGTTTACAGCTGCTACTGATATTCATTTTACTTTCATATCGTTTTTTTAGGCCTAGCGCTATTGTGCACTTACTATATGATAGTGTAAACATCTTATTAGGCTTTGATATGCATTTCCAACTGAAAAAAAGGCAAAGATCCGCTTTTCGGCGGAGGTCTGGTCCCTAACCTGCCGTATATGCGATGCCCTACTGTAAAACAGAATTATTCACAAATTAAACCAGTATGTTTTCTCTTCCCAATTCTGAAGTACTAACAATTTACTTTAAAATGTATGTGAAAGTAACTTCTCAGAAAAAATCTTTTGTTCAAAAAATTTGGGTCATCAACAACCCATTTAAAACATGATATATAAAACAATTGCTACAGAACAGTTTTACAGAAATCATTGATTAAAGCTCAGTATATGAAACAAAATAAATTGGCTGTCCAGTCGTATTTAATACAAAAGGCTACCAGACTGATATTGTTGATAAGGATTTAAAAATAATAATTTGACATCAAGGTAACCTTAGAAATGAATTTCATAAAGCTTCATGAAAACTGTGCTAAAAGCTCAAAGGTTAAAGTGATATAATAGCTCCTTATGCCTAAAATAAAATGTATTTCCACTTACACCTATCATGTGGTTCTTCACCCACAGCCCAGCCACACAATGCAGTGGCAACAAATGTTAAGGAATTTGCAACTGGCACAGCGAGTGTAAGGTCTAAAAAAGGAGGAAAAAATGACTCAGAATGGTTCACAATCAATGGCACTACCTATACGGATGTTTAACTGAGGCAAATAATTGTCGGGATACCCAACAGGAAAATGACTACAAACTACACAATGTTGTTCTTCCTTGATAAATTAAATTAAAAAATTCTGTTAATACCCTAGTCCAAGATACAAAGATGAACATTTAAGACAGGGCATCCTATCACATTCATTCAGAATTTTAAATCAGTTGTAATTTGTAACTGTTGGCTTTCTAAATTACAGCTCTCTTAAATCTCACAACATCATATCAACTGAGACACTTTAAGCAACAGACAAAAAATTTAACTGAAATATTGAAATTCTGAGACATGTTCAGACACATGGTTGTAAAATTTTGCCTTTTGTACAAAGTGGGCAGACTTGAATCAGGTGAATTCTAATCAGGTTTGAGTGTGTTCAACACACATAACCCAGCAAGAAACTTTTTATCTTCACCCTTCCACATCAATGGGAAGGGTTAAAAAATCCACAGTTTCAATATGTAATATAAGGTTATTTTTGGAACTGCTCTCCTTTTTGTCAGATTTAGTGTTTTTTTATATATAGCAAGCATGCAAGCAAGCAAAAAGTTAAATGTATGATACTGAAGATCTTACCTGATGTTCCTAATGTAATGTAATACAGCACAGAGCCACATTGGTTTAAGATGAATGGTATCATGTACTGTAAACAAGACCAAACATTTGGCTATGATAAGCTTTCTTACTATATAAAACTATCAGAATGCTTAAAAATGTTACTCCCAATTTAGTTTTTTATAAGTATAACATAGTAGAAAACAGTTTATACTGCACAAAAGTTACACATATCTGTTGACAGTGGCAGTGTCACAATGACAACAAACCTAACAAAACGTATTTATTAAAATACTGTTTTGAGAAATTATACTTGTATTCATTTCTACAATTCAATGTGCATGTCAAAGGTACAAAAATATTCTTTATTTAACAAATCTAACACGGTGGGAGTAGAACAAACAATGAAGTTCTGGCAACAAAGAAGGAGTATTAATTCAATTATTATATATAAATTTTCTATCTGTCTAAAAACTGAAATTTACCAGTTTTAAATAGATATCTCAATTTACACAGTAACTATTATAAAATAGGATTTGAGGTTCTCATGACGGTGAGTCTGAAGATGGCTGTCTTCTGGGTTGTTGCGTGGTAGTCTGCCATCTTCAAGTATTACAAAACTTACAATGAACTAATTTAACCATTTCTTTCAGTTTTCAGCATATAGAACAATGTTATTAGCAAGTACACTCCTCAACTTCTCTTTATACTCTTGCACTGAACATTAATAACATTTTCATGTGGTACATAGAAACTGACTGAATATATGCTCTGGTAATGTTCCCCTTGAAAAAAATATTATTTATACCACAAACTACAATGATCTTGAATAGTCACCTGAGGCCCTGATGGTGTGATCCATGGCCTCAGCAGCTTATTTGTAAATGGCGATCAAATCACTGACTCAAGCACATAATTTGTATCCTAAGTTAGGGAATGAACATTCACAACACATCAACATCCCATTACTAGCCAAACTTATCCTCTTATTGCAGCTCAAATTCCCTTGTATATGAGAAATCCCACACTTAAGTATACTACACTTAAATTCCAACCTGCCATCGACACACAAGGTAATAAATCTCGTAGAGTAATTGCATTGAAGGATGTGGAGCCTTGACATTTTCAACTCCTAAGCTTCCTTTTTTGATAAGTGGATTCGTGGCACCCCAGAGAACGCCCACAGCAATTAAACTAAACGTAGCATCTGAAAATAAAAAAAACTATTATTAATTATGCAACTTTATTACAATCCACTCCTTTACATAAGAAACTATTTGTTGTCATCTGTTTATTCGGCATTGTTATGTTTCATTACCGCCGTCAACAATCCGCTTTCGTTATTGCGGAAAGAGCTAAGCTGTGAATCGCTTGTAGAAGAAGTGTGTCATAGAGTAGATATTATTGTGCTGTTAAAAACGTTTTAGAATATCACAAGTACTTATCTTATATAAGAATTATTAAGAAATCTGTGATACTGCCCTCCACTCTCTCCATTTTAGTTTTGATTAAATGGATTATTGCCGGTGGACATCGTGGTCTCTTACAATTGAACAAAGTTTGAGGTAAGGGATAAAGGCGGATCGCACTTCACGCTACTGCTGCGTTTGCGTATTTACGTCAGATTTTCCGGAAACGTGGTTCCACTGTCAATTTTCGCAATACGTATCTTCTCTGTCTTATCCTATATCAATGCAGTAAATAAAATACAACTTAGAGCTCACCTAACATAATGTTACTTGCGGTATTGGTCACATGGGATGCACTCACAATGTAAGTCCATTACTAAATATCACCCACTACCTCGAATTTTGCAGAAAAAGAACAGTTAATTCTGCGCTTGCCCTGAAAATTAGCCCTTCACATGCTAGATTAACCACGCCACTAAATCGAGTTCTTAACCGAAACAAAATCACACATTACAAATAATACCTGACACATCTCAGTACATTGGTAACAAGAATTATACCTACCTAAAGGATGAGAAGAACATGCAGTCACAATTCAGGTTTGCAAACCTGTAGAACAGCTGGATGGGGTGCAGTTGGTGATTTTGTGTAAAAATACTGTGAAGCTTGCAGTTTTCATTCGGTATTGGCGTCAAACACGTATAATGAGGAACATTATTTTAAAAATCTGACATGATTACGTTTGTTCGGAGAATATTTTGATGAACTGAAACATGGAATGAATATACGAATTGTCTGTCAGTCTTAACCTAGCACAGATGGTGCCCGTGTTGGTATAGAATTGTAAATCAATATAATTAATATTTTTATTAGCATTTTCGCTTGACATAATGAAGAAGGTGACCGGACAGTTTCGTAATACAACGTGGGATCCTCTGCTTATAATATCACAAATAATAGCTCTCCAGTGTGTTTTGTATGTTGGTCTGGGATTGTGGATGGTTTTCATGGACCTTCTTGTTGGTTCATCTAGATCCCTTGATCATCTCTTTAAATATCAGGTGACTGTTTAGTTTGATATAATCTGCCTCCACATCATGGTAAAGTTGCAAGCAAATTGATACCTGTAGGAAGTAACCTTAAAGTTGAGGGTTCCATACATAAAAGAGTTCTGCAAACAATAATACACAGCACTTAAATAATGACATTTATCACACTATGATGTATTAAGTTATGTTTAATGTTCATGCTTCTTTGCCACATATGTTGTGTAAGTTCATCATGATTCCTTTGTCTTCAATCATGATGGTAAAAGCTAATTGTTGTCAAACAATAAAGATGTTCTAAGTAGAATTAGTTAATGTTTCCAAGTGAGAAGATATTCATAGCATGGAAACTGTTCAATCAATATTGATGTGTATAAATATATAAGTATGTTGACAATATTGACTCACTTGCAAACATTTATAATTATCAAAAGTGTCAAACATAATATTACTTGCATTCCTTATATTTATGCTACACTGAATATTCTTTGAAGCAAAGATTTACCAACTAATAATTTTCTGTTTTCTTTTTTACAGGAAATCCATGTACGAGATTTTGGTGGCAAACTCATTATAACAGCATTTGTTCTGAATGCATTAATTGGGTAAGTTCTTGGCAGAACACTAATTATGATATTGTCCTATTAATGACACCACTTTTCAAATTTGATAAACATCTTTTCTGAGATGGAAGAGAGGTATGAATGTCTTGGATGGTCTGCAAATGTTATCCAAAATCCTTGATTTGACTAGATGAGCTGTACAAATATCATAATGTAAAATCCTGTTTCCCACTTTCTTCATCTGTCCCTGATCCAACTGTAAGACATTGACAAATATATTTGTATCTGTTACAGAGCTCTTGGGTTGTGGTTTATTGTTCAGCGAACAAAGCAGTGCTTGGACTTTTCATCAACTGCTCATCTTATCCATTTGATCGTTTGTTGGTATTATAATGGTCACTTTCCCAGTGCTTTTTCTTGGTGGTTGCTGAACTTGGTGTGTCTAACAATCATGTGTGTATCTGGTGAATTTCTGTGTATGAGGACAGAATTGCAGGCCATTCCCCTAAATATGGGTCCAAAAGCTGATTTATAGTGACTGATTTTGTGCTGAGAAGTCAAGTTATATAAAATGAACTTGGACTGCTGTTAATTTGTTTTATAGAAATTATATGTATTAGTAATATTAAAATAAATTAGTGTTATTAAATATAATAAAACTGGCTGAACATGCCTCATAAAAGACTAGTTATAAGTTATTAGCAGAACAGTTGTATGTTTTTGTAAGTATGTATATGCTATGCCCTTGTTCTATAATGAAATGTGCCATTACTTAGGCATGACCAGCAGGCAGTCCTTATTATTTGAGCACAATTTATTTTTAGATCTATATATTCTTTCTTACGAATCATTTAATATCCAAATAAAGTAAACTACGCCCATTTCCATCAGTCTCCAGGTGAATGCCATGGCAGTTCCTTAAAACAGACATGCTTTCTTCACCATCCTTTCCAATTCATTATTATTATTTGCTCTATTGAAAGTAATTTATTTATTTATTAATAATTAGAGAAACTTGTAGAAACATTTAATGGCATGTAATGTAAACTTTACTTGTGCATTAATCCAGAAATGTCACGTAATGTAAACTTGGCAACACATGACTGATAGATTCTTGATGTATTTAATGACACATTTCAACTGCTTAGCTTTTGTAGCAAAGAACAGACCAAGATATGAATCCAGGACATTCCAGATCAATCTCAGTATAACATGCAGAACTTCATTTGTCTAGGTGTTTTTTTAAAAACTTATTTTATTACACAAATATCAAAATCAATTGTTACTGGCCCATTTTTCACAAAATTTTACTTTGTGGCTATGACTACATACAGGCATACATCTGTATTAATTACATATACCTTCCTAAGATGATAATGCATATGTTCATGGACTCTGATACACATATGAAGCCTTTCAGTGAATTGTGTATTAGTATTTTCCCTCTTCTCAGCTTTTACATTTCATTCCATGTCTTCTGAAAGGTAAAGATATGCAGAAAATACAAAAATAAAAGAATATGAATAAAATCTTCTAGGGCAATCAGCTGTGTCAACTGGTTACCTATATAGAAGAATATGGCTGTCTCCTAATTTGCTGCGCCTTGTAATCTGGAAGTTTACCAATGTTTCAGAGGTGCTTACTGAAATGTCAGTAAATGTCTACAAGACTTCACAGCCATCTTTATATTCACCACCATGAGAACCTGAAATCTCACAAAAATAAAATATGCTAAATTTACTAGATGCTGCTGGTACAACAAAGCACAGACTGAAATGTATCATGATGTAGCATGCATGGATTAAATATTGAAAAGCTCATGTAGCTGCACGAAAGGAAGCATTCTGAAGAAAATTTATGATAATATATTGTTGGAACATTAGCTATGAATATGGAGGGATGACCATTACCACAAAGACATTTATCATATTCTCCAAAACATTTAAATAGGGACTTTCACCCATAGACACTCTCCTACACCTTTAAATGTTGATGTCTGCCATAAGTACAGTACTTATTACACAAAATGAGTGCACACAAAAATCTCATTTTGTCCTATTCTGAACATCTGTGCAGTGTAAAGATGTACTTTCACTGCAGTGGAAGGGTTATGGGTGTTGAAAATGTGTATTACCAATGTGGGCAAGGATATAAAAATTGATGAAACAGGACAAGCAACATTAGGAAGGATGTAATGTCTAAAAATAATTTTTCTGCGGAACATGTAACAAAAATATTTACATATTTTATTGGTTTTTCTTTTTTTTAATGGATGTATCATGATCTACAAGCAACAAATATTTGGTGTAGTTAGTAAGAAGGCATCAATGTAGAGCACAATAAAATTTGTACACCAATTTGGAGAAAACATATTTACCAAATACATTCCTGTGAATTACATTCCTCTTCAGTCCTGATGTTCATAATTCAGACACAAATATAATGCTGACCTATTAAACAATACAGATACTACTACACTGCATACCAATACATCTATGATTTACAAAAATAATGAACAGTACATATATTCATACAGGCATAAATTATTTTTAAATATATCTCATATCAAAAAGTGTTAGAAATAATTGTTATAGATTGTAATGGAATCTGTGTTTTGTTAGGAACAACCCTTTTGCTTGATGATCTGTTCTAATAATACTATTTTCTAATCAAAAGCCATACAGCAGTTTTAAAGGTGAAACACGCAGGAAGACTCACAACCTCCTATTATGTGTTCATTTTATGTACTCTATGCAAAGAGATTGTAAAGGCTATGTGAATTACACATGTGGCTATGGGGAAAATAATTTACAATGCTGATAATCTTACTTTTAATTTCTCACATAATTTGTAAATTGTCAATCAATAGTGTAATTACAAATGTGAACTGAACAAGAATAAACTGTAATTTTATCAATGTCACATGGGAGGATGATGATTAAAAATTATTATAAGTGTAAGACTGAGAAAATAATCCAAAACACTTCACACAATTAACTGAACATAAGCAAAGAAATTTACTTCCATAATTTTCAGTTTTAATTGCATAATACTGTGTAAACCAAAACCATTTTCAATTAAAATAAATATACATAATATTTATTGCTGCAATTCTTTATTCACTAATCATCCTATCATTTAATGCCGAGCTAAAGCATCATTAAATAAACCAAGAACAAAACTTTTACACAAAATTTGTTGAAACCAAATAGTGGCTTGTATCTGGTGTCATTTGTCTACACAAAACAAGGTACTTCTGTTCTGGATTAGCAAGCAGTCTCCTACCGTATCAACCTCATTTCAGAAATGCAGAAAAATATTAGGTCACATTACTAATGAACACATATACATCCACAAATACTGATCTTTTACAGAAGCAAAGTGCTTATTATCTAATACTTCCACCTTCTACAGTTATAGAACATTTTCAATTTAAGTAAATGAAAACTTTTACCTGTGAATCAATGCATCAATATTAAGACATTAGAAAGCATATCAACATTCTCTGCAGTGGTCAATATCTGATTACCCAATTACTTTTAAGTAATACAAGATAGTCCTACAATGCATCCACCAAGCAAATTTCTTTACTTCAGTCAGTAATTATGGAAATGTTTTTTGTTTCATTCCTGTCATTTGCTCTGTAAAATTCAAAGTGAGTATTTGGTAAGTACCATGTATCTACTGTCTTACATAGGCATGTCGTTGTCTTTTACATTGCTTTACTTGAGCATAAGCAAAAGAGTAATAAAAATAAAGAATACCTATATATATATCAACCAGTATTATTAACCATGGTGGTGTAAATGTAATAATTTTTGTACAAATGTAATATATTCCATGAAACAAAGATCATGTATGTTGGACTGGACATTTATAATTCATATAAACAATTGGAGTATTTATATTTTTCTGCCAATGCACTTAAACCTACTTGTCACTGTATTTACAACAATTATTTGAATAATCATAATAAGACTTACAAACATTAAAGCAACAATCAGTGCTTACAAGAGGAGGCAGATGGTTATAGTACTAGGCATCAGCAACGTGTAAAAATGGCATTCCTCTATCACTGCAAACACTATTAAGTGGACATATAACAAACTACAAATATTGTGAACTCAAAAATACATGTAATTTCTCAAATCTCCTACATGAATGCATGAAACAACAATCCATCATTAATTACTGTATTATAATACTCATTGCTTAATTCAGTTACTGAAATTTCTAAAGTAGCACTAATACAAGTTTAGAAACTGCATTTACGTAAACTGCATTATAAGAAACAAATGCATGGCTTCACAACTGTTAAAGATATGCAACCATGAAATACAAATATGTTCAGACTTTTCAAATGTGCCATAGTAAATGGTAAAAAAGAGCAAAGTTGCAGCTGGTGCTTAATTAGGCACCATGCCACAAAGAGATATGAAGGAATATCTCCACTTCTCTTGATGGAGGTGAGTGGTCAGCTTCACCCCTGGGGAAAGAAACCCTAGTACCCACTGGAGAGAGGCTGGGTGGTTACCAGAGTCAGTCTGGATACAGTAGCTAAAGCTGGGAATCAAACCCTGGTTGTCCAGCCCATAGTATAGTATAGTATAGTATAGTATAGTCTAGTCTAGTCTAGTCAAGTCACTATACCAACTGAGCTATTCCTGGCTGAATAATACAATGAATAACAATTGTTACCTACATCCACTCTGTAATTCTGGCAATTGTTATCAACCACTGGGGTATCTCCATACAAATGCTATGTGGAATTTCAGATGTTTACTAAACTGTAAACATTTATTAACATTAATGACAAGAACTGCTTCTCAAACCTCCAAAATAAAAGCTAGAAGAGATATAAAATGTTAATTTCCTCTTACAAACAACATGGTTCA